TTTTTGTTGACTTATCTCCATCTTTATTTTCTAGTGAGATGTCTCTGGTTTTCCCACGACCCAATACCAGTGTGATCGGCACGAAGGACAAGCGACTCATGGCTGAGGTGAACGCCTCCCCGCTCAAACACTTCGTCACCGCCAAGAAGAAGATCAACGGCATCTTTGAACAGCTGGGTGCTTACATCAAAGAGAGTTCAGCCTTTCTAGAAGGTGTCTGCTTTCATTACTCCTGGCCATTCGTTTGTTCCACTGCTTGTCTTAGGAGCTCAAAGCACACTGCTGCATGCTGTTCATCTGTCAAGCTGATAAGAGAAACCTGGTTGATTGTGAATAGCATAGCTCAGATAGCAAAGACAGGTTACGTAATAGACGGGGAGATGGCTGAAGGCTCAGGGAAAAGCATGGCTTAGTCAGCGTATCGTGTGTCAGGCTTTTTTCTATGAACATCTCAGGTTTTCTTTAGGCAAGGTCTTACAAATTTACTCTGGTAGCTCATAAGCTCATAACATTTTACTTAAAGGATTTTGGTCTCATGTTAGGTTTAATTGAGGTCAGTCACATTTTAGCAAAAATTGCCAAAGCTTACTGAGTTTACACTGAAAACCAGTTCTATCTCTAACCCGGAGATATTTAATTTAAGCATGTGTACTTCAATGCTGAATGATACCTCAAATTGTCGAGGAGAGGTTTATAATGACTTTTCTTAGTGATTTAACATTGAGTTATTACTTCACAGGCAATACAACTGTAAAATATACCATATTTACATTTAAATGTTTACATTGAGAAAGGAACTGGAGACATATTGAGAGACCAGGGGCTGGAATCACAAAAATCCTCTAAAGCGTCTTTCTTAAGATAAATTCTAAGAAGTTATTAAAAATGTTCCAAATTGCAGTTTTTGACATCCTTAAGATAGATGCACTGATACTAAATTTCGCAGCCGATACCGATAACCAGTTATTCAGAATGATATCTGCCGATACAGATAACCGATAGTTTAGTTTTCTTAAGGGAAAAATTTCCCCAACTAATGTTGTAAACTATAAAATAAATGCATTAAGTGATGCAGTTGTACTGTATCTTTCAGCATACCTTCTGATGTTCATTTGTGTTTATTTTGTGCTATAACTTGTATTAAAGCGGAAGAGACCAGTGTTGCTGCTTGAACTGAAGCTGCTACAGCGATCTGTCATGCAAAAC